GCCCCCTACTGACCCCAGGCCCTCGGGCAGTGCCCGAGTTTCCAAATGGTCAGTCCGCCCCTGCTGTTGTCATACCTTGTAGACAGGTGACAGATAATGCATTTATTCACCTTGCACATACCCATCTCTTTAAAACTGTCCTATGTCCTTGACATACAAAAAGTCTTTGATATGCTTTCTTAGAACTGTCTCAGTTTTACAAAATTGAGCCTTCCACAAAAATTGTGGCTCTTTACTCTCTCTTAGTGCCATTGGAAATTGACATTAGAAACAATCCTAATACTCAAGGCATGGAAATTGTGGACGTTCACCACTAAGGTTTATATTTTGTAGACAATCTTACTCCATCTTTCCCAACATCATGCTATTTCATAGCGACTTGCTATGGGGGCACTCGGAAGGAAAGAGGAGCCCAGAGTGCCAACAGGGGACCTCAGAAGAGGAGGTTTATGGCCACTCTACACAGAGCAGTGTCTGTCATTAAAAAAAAAAAAAGATTTAACTCTGCCACCTGGTTCAAATGCTACACTGTATTCTTCCTTATGTAAACTCAGCTTTGAAAATATTTCATTTGATTCTTTGTATACTCTTGAAAATTCAAATATAATTTTCAAGAACTCTTCATTTGAAGATATTATTTGCATAGATGTTGCATGAATATCCTGATTCAAAGACTTAAATATGGAACTAGTATGCTGATCAGGTGTTCTTGCTGTTTTCCCATTTTACTGGTTGATTTTTATGAGGCTAGAAACAACCAGGTAATTAGCATTTTTGAAAGAGGTTAGCAACAGCACCACTCTGCACCATTCTCCAGATAGTTCAGGTTGGTGTGAAAACATGCCCCAGGGGGCAAGTACCTGAACGCCTGTACACACACGAAGTGAGTTGAATAGTGCTGGAGGATTGGCTCCAATTGTGGGGAAAAATTAGCATCACAGGGAACAACTCTGGATTGAAGGTTAGCATTGCAGTGACAGTTTCTTTCTTTGTTCTTTACATTTCCTGGGCTCCATTTTTCATGATTACAGCTTTAACGTACTGCTTATTTCCTAATTTACATGGCCATCTTAAATCTGCAATTTATACAGGCAATGATGTGCAGTTAAGAATTTCTTTTACTCTTCTGTAGATGACCCAGAGTATGGAAACAAATAGCAGTGAATTTGATGGCTATCAGTGACCTGCAACTTTTAGGGTTCATTCGCACTTCAGTGTCCATCAGTTTGGACATTATGCACATTAAAGGTTGTCTAAGGTCACAGCATACACTTTCATTTTATAATATCAGCATTGTAAGCTAATCCATTGTATGATATCAGAATTGCAATTCAAGCAGCAATAGTTATTTTTGACAATTCAGTAAAAGCTTAGTTTAACCTCTTCAATACAGGGCACTTTTACCCCCTTCCTGCCCAGGCCATTTTTCAGGTTTCAGCGCTCTCATACTTTGAATGACAATTGCGCAGTCATGCAGCATTGTACCCAAATGAAAATGTTATCATTTTCTTCACACAACTAGAGCTTTCTTTTGGTGGTATTTAATCACCGCTGGGGGTTTTTTTTTTTGCTAAATTACCAAAAAAAGACCGAAAAATTTTGAAATAAAAAAAAACGTTTTTGTTTGTTTCTGTTATAAAAGTTTGCAAATAAATAATTGCTCTTCATAAATTTAGGCCGAGATGTATTCTGCTACATGTCTTTGGTGAAAATAACCCAAATTAGGATGTATTTTTTAGTTTGTAGGAAAGTAATAGAGTTCACAAACTATGGTATAGATCTGAATATTGATCAGTCCTGAAGTATTGACAGCCAATCTAATTTCTTGAGGTCCAAGAATGTCAGAACAGTACAGATATCCTCCAAATGACCCCTTTTTGCAAAGTAGACAGTCCGACGTACTTCATAAGAGGCATGGCGAGTTTTTTGATGTTATTTTTTTTGTCATAATTTTTCGAAAAATGAAAAACATTATTTTCACTATTTTTTTTTTACATACTGTCACCAGTGCAGTACAGCGTCTTCATATAACTGGCATGGCGGTGATCAGGGACACTGACTGGTGACAGTATGAAAAAAAAAATATATAATTTTTTTTTTATTTTTGTTTATTATTTTTATTTTCTCTTACATTTTTTTAATTTTTTTTTAAGATTTGTTTTTCATATTTCACTATGACCAAAGTAGTACAATGTTACCATAGTAACATTGTACTACTTTGGGGAAGTGATCAGTATTTTACCTGAATGACATCGATTCATTCAGTGGTTTTTTGTTTTTTTTTTTTGTGCTTAGCTGTGATTTGGCCATGGCTAATCACATGACACAGCTGGGCTGTGATTGGCCCAGCTTGTGCATGTGATCGCTGTGACCATTCACAGCTAGACACACTTGTATACAATGGATGGCATGAATGAAGCCATCCATTGTATACAACTGTCATGTGTCACATGGTACCGGCAATGGGGCCGGTACTCAGATCTCTCATCGGCCGTGTCTGAGGTACATGGCCGGTGACAGATCGCGCCACTGCGCGGCTCTGCATGCGCGCAAACTGCGCATGCCCGAAAGGACGCCATATGACATCCACCCGGAAAGGTGAGGGTTTTTGCCGGCCACCATTCGGCCATAGGCCAGGAGGGAAATGGTTAAAAATCTCCTTTCATGTTGTGAGTGCTGCCTGTCTGCTAGCCATCTCTTTCAACAATCTCCTGAATTCCCTGCATGCTTTGCATATTCTCCTCTGCTGTTTACTTTTCATGTCTGAGGACTACATATCCCATGATAATTTGCTGCCTACAAGCAGTGGTTCACCTATTGCCTCCTGAAGCTCCTCCTCTCAGCACCTCTGTAGTTCAGAAGGCAGGATCTGTGAAATGTGTGACACAGTAATGTCTATCAACAGGGCATAGTGAATACATGTCACAGAATTCAAAGAAGTAAATATGTGGAGATCTTCACAAAGTAAGTTTACAAACCTCAAGATCATTCAGAGTAATAGGAGTAGACTATATATAAGAGAAATACAATGTAGAGATAAATATGTAGCACCCTCCTAGTTTAGCTAGGGGGAGCTAGACCCTGATAGTTAGTTAGGAGCTGATTAGCAGCTCAGGTGAGATAGTCAGAGAGGTAAAATTCTGGCCTGGACTGGGAGACTCTACAGGCCAGCCCCTCTGGAATTTTCCTGTCAGGAATGGACTGGCCAGCAATGGTGGGACTCGCCTGCCTTATGGGCTGCAGTACCGGGGCTGGCCAGCGGGTGCTCCCAGCAATCAGAGACTCAACCTTGCAGCCAGCTAAACACCTGAAACTGCTTACACTGGGGTATTTAAGGGATGGCCAGACCTGCAGACTCTGCCTTGGTGTATGTTTCTCCTGGGCCCTGTTCCCTGTTCCTGTTCCTGTCTGATTCTCTGCTGACCCTGCTCTGATCCCTGGCTTGTCTGACCATTCTCCTGCTCCCGATCCCTGGCTTGTCTGACCATTCTCCTCTGCCTGACCCTCTGTACCACGCTGCCCGCTACCTGCTGAACCTGGCTTGTGACCCCGACCATTCTCCGCTTGCTCCCCCTGTACCTACCTGCCCGATTGATATTGACCCGGCCTGCCTGACGACGCTTGCATTGTATGTACTGTTATCGGTGGGTGGTTTGGTTTGGTTTGTTTGCACTGTGTTATGTTTTAGTATTGCACTGCGTTTATGTTTGTATTGTTAGTGTTAATAAATTACATTGTTTATAACATATCTGAAGTCTGCGTTTCCCTGCGTCAGTCACATACCTCTGGTCATACCCGGGAGCCCTGACATTACACCAAGGCCAATCCTGACCAGAAGTGGCTGCACAGGGAAGCCATCTTGGTTTGTTGATGGGAAGGATGGATCTGGATGAGGTTGCGTATTTATATCTGCTAGTGTTTGATGACAGGGAGTATGCTTATCAAACTCTGAAGGAGTATACCCGGGATGAACTGCTAGAATGTATACGGCTCGCTCATGTTCTAGTAGATCAGGGCACAGAGTTCTCTGAGGTGCAGCCATTAATTGAGGTTTGTGCTGAGTTGGTTTCATCTGGTACCCCCGAATGCAGGGATGAATTTTTGCCACCATTTAGTGCAGACCAGGTAGAGTCCCTGGTGTGGTTATTAGAGGATGATGTGGGTTACTTTCTGGAGCGTTATTCCACATGTTCACCACAGGTATTTAGGGATTGTATAAACGCAGTGCAGTCTTTGGTCAGACAGGCTTTGTGTAAGCTGAGCTTTGTTCAACCCATACTGCAGACATGGACAGATTTGTTGCACCCAGCCTCAGTCAGCCTACAAAGACCCAGTCCTGCTTCTAATCTATTTCCTCAAAGCTCTACTCCTGTATTCCCAACAGCTCCTCCAGTTACAGCCCAGTATACTTGGCTATCTACCGCATGTCAGTACCCTGTTCCCACTCGCTGCATCTATCCTGCCTTTAACCCTGTAAAGAAGCCCTCTGTAGCGACTGTTCCTTCCCCTGTTCCATCCTCCAGCTCTTCTCTGTCTCCAGCTGCTCCATTCGTTTGCAGACCTGCGTTTACTTGCAGTGCTCCAGTAGTTAAAACCAGAAAAAAGCGAAAATTCTTTCCAACCAATACCATCCTGCCAGTATCCAAACCGGTGAACCTGCCTTCCGTGGTTCAGCCTGAAGCCTCTCTACTCAGCCTGATGCCTGTACTCAGCCTGATGCCTCTACTCAGCCTGATGCCTCTACTCAGCCTGATGCCTTTACTCAGCCGGATGCCTGCATTCAGCCCGATGCCTCTACCCAGCATGATGAACTGATCCAGCCTGACGATCCTATTAGGCCAGTTGACTCCGATGCCCGCTGTTGATCCAGATGATCCGGTACCTGATCCGGTGCCCGCTGTCGTGCCAATTGACTCAGAGCCCGCTGTCGTACCTGGTGACTCGGTGCCCACTGCCTTGCCAGATGACGCGGTGCCCGATGGCGAGCTAAATGACCTAATGCCTGGTGACCCGGTGCCCACTGCCTTGCCAGATGACGCGGTGCCCGCTGGCAAGCCAAATGACCTGATGCCTGGTGACCCAGTGCTCGCTGTCATACCTGGTGACCCGATGCCCGCTGTCGAGCCAGACAATCCGGTACCTGATGACCCGGTGCCCGCAGTCTTGCCAGACGACTCGGTGCCCACAATCTTGCCAGACGACTCGGTGCCCGCAGTCTTGCCAGACGACTCGGTGCCCGCAGTCTTGCCAGACGACTCGGTGCCCGTTGTTCCCGCCAGTTGACTCGGTGCCCGCAGTCTTGCCAGACGACTCGGTGCCCGCAGTCTTGCCAGACGACTCGGTGCCCGCAGTCTTGCCAGACGACTCGGTGCCCGCAGTCTTGCCAGTTGACTCGATGCCCGCTGTTCCGCCAGACGACTCGGTGCCCGCAGTCTTGCCAGACGACTCGGTGCCCGCAGTCTTGCCAGACGAATCGGTGCCCGCAGTCTTGCTAGACGACTCGGTGCCCGCTGTTCCGCCAGTTGACTCGATGCCCACTGTTTCGCCAGTTGGCTCGGTGCCCGCAGTCTTGCCAGTTGATTCGGTGCCCGCAGTCTTGCCAGTTGACTCGGAGCCCACTGTCGTGCCTGGTGACTCAGTGCCCGCCGCTCCGCCTGGGGCCCGAGACCTGTCGCTCCGTCTGGGGGTCCGGCGCCCGCCGCTCCGCCTGGGGGCCTAAGACCCGCCGCTCCGCTTGAGGGCCCGAGACCTGTCGCTCCACCTGGGGGTCCGGCGCCCGCCGCTCCGCCTAAGGGCCCGAGACCTGTTGCCCCACCTGGGGGGCCCGATGCCTGTTGGACCCGCCGGGGGCCTGATGCCTGTCGCCCCGCTGGGGGCCCCCCGATGCCTGTCGCCCCGCCTGGGGGCCCGACGCCTGTCGCCCCGCCTGGGGGCCTGACGCCTGTCGCCCCGCCTGGGGGCCCGACGCCTGTCGCCCCGCCTGGGGGGCCCGGTGCCTGCTACTACTCCGCCTGGGGGCCCGGTGCCTGTCGCCCCGCCTGGGGGCCCGATGCCTGTCGCCCCGCCTGGGGGCCCGATGCCTGTCGCCCCGCCTGGGGGCCCGGTGCCTGCTGCTCCGCCCGGTGGCCCGCTGCCTGCTGCTCCGCCTGGTGGCCCGCTGCCTGCTGCTCCGCCTGGTGGCCCTCTGCCTGCTGCTCCGCCTGGTGGCCCGGTGCCTGCTGCTCCGCCTGGTAGCCCGCTGCCTGCTGATTTGCCTGGTAATCCGATGTGCCTCTGCCCAGAGTCCAGCCCGATGTGCCTCTGCCCGGAGTCCAGCCCGATGTGCCTCTGCCCGGAGTCCAGCCCGATGTGCCTCTGCCCGGAGTCCAGCCCGATGTGCCTCTGCCCGGAGTCCAGCCCGATGTGCATCTGCCCGGAGTCCAGCCCGATGTGCCTCTGCCCGGAGTCCAGCCCGATGTGCCTCTGCCCGGAGTTCAGCCCGATGTGCCTCTGCCCGGAGTTCAGCCCGATGTGCCTCTGCCCGGAGTCCAGCCCGATGTGCCTCTGCCCGGTGTGCCTCTGCCCGGTGTGCCTCTGCCCGGTGTGCCCCTGCCCGGTGTGCCCCTGCCCGGTGTGCCGCTGCCCGGAGTCCTGCCCGGTGTGCCAGTCTTTGATATCCCGCCAGTTACCAGACCCGGGCGGTGGAACATTTTGCCCAGCTAGGACTGTTTGGAGCGTCCTGAGGCCGCTCCTTGAGGGGGGGGGGTACTGTCAGCAATGGACTGGCCAGCAATGTTGGGACTCGCCTGCCTTATGGGCTGCAGTACTGGGGCTGGCCAGCAATCAGAGACTCAACCTTGCAGCCAGCTAAACACCTGAAACTGCTTACACTGGGGTATTTAAGGGATGGCCAGACCTGCAGACTCTGTCTTGGTGTATGTTTCTCCTGGGCCCTGTATCCTGTTCCCTGTTCCTGTTCCTGTCTGATTCTCTGCTGACCCTGCTCTGATCCCTGGCTTGTCTGACCATTCTCCTGCTCCTGATCCCTGGCTTGTCTGACCATTCTCCTCTGCCTGACCCTCTGTACCACGCTGCCCGCTACCTGCTGAACCTGGCTTGTGACCCCGACCATTCTCCGCTTGCTCCCCCTGTACCTACCTGCCCGATTGATATTGACCCGGCCTGCCTGACGACGCTTGCATTGTATGTACTGTTATCGGTGGGTGGTTTGGTTTGTTTGCACTGTGTTATGTTTTAGTATTGCACTGCGTTTATGTTTGTATTGTTAGTGTTAATAAATTACATTGTTTATAACATATCTGAAGTCCGCATTTCCCTGCGTCAGTCACATACCTCTGGTCATACCCGGGAGCCCTGACATTTCCCCTGCTCTGAGGCTTTCGGAGGAGGGCTTTGGAGACAGTGGGTGGATCTGAGGAGTGGTTGGTTGCACTTTTGAGGGGCTTAAGCCAAATTCCCAACAAACGTCTTGGCAATGGGCTGGACTCCCTTAAAAGTGTAGGAGCCTGCTCAGCAGCAGGAGTGTGGTGGTGGTGGGAGAGGAGTGTGGAGCAGGAAGATGTGAGGCTGGAGGAGGAAGGCTTCCAGGAGGCCTAGTGGGATGGGGCCTGCCTGCAAGCCTGGAGCTGGAAAGGAGGAAAGCTCACGACTCACTGGCCCCCTGAATGAGGACCACCTGTATGGCAGGGAAGAAGCAGCCCAGCTGATATGCCTGGTAGTAGCAGCCATCCAGCAAGCAGTACAGGAGAAGATCTGAGTGAGTACACTTGCACCCCCTGGGAGGATAGGGGAAGGAGCACTCTGGTGGGAAACCAGATTAGCCCTCTGCTTGTTACTGTTACCCATTTAAAGGAACAGAAGCCAGATCCCCTGCTCAGGAATAAAGTCACCATATTGCTGGGTGAAGAGGAGTTCATCTAGGGTCTGGGTTAGTACAACTGGAGCTGCCGGCTAGCACTCCAACAAAAACTGTGTCAGAGAAGATAAGCTGTGAATAGTTCACAAAGTTGTCCTCAGATTTCTGTTACCCTGGGCATCCTATACTCCCCTTACCCTATCAAAGTTGAATCCCCTCAGTAAAATAACAAAACCAATGCTCAAGGCCTGATTTCTGTCTACGAATGAAAGCTTGTGTGGAAAATGCTAACTGGCTGTGCAGGGCTATAGGGAGACCCAAAATCCATCAGCAATCCCTAAGGGGGTAGTGCTACAAATATATGATTTTACATTTTGACTATATATGTGCTTTAATGTATACTGTAATGCACTTTAATGTGTAAACCACAATGCGCATAGCTAAACCCAAAAACAGAAATCATTGCAGCTCACAATCTTTAGATATGGTGTATGCGCTAGTTTTCATTTTAAGGCTTTTTCTTTGTTTTTACCTGTTTAAGGCACCAGTAACTCTGTTATTTTTTTCAATTTCTTTAACAGACTAGCCACCCTGACGCTAGGTTCACATCGACCCACAGTCTGTGGGCTGGCTGTGGGTGCAGGAATAGCACCTGCAACCCACGCACAGCCAAATCGATCTGCTCTTACAAGATGCACATGGCTGCCTTTCATTATGAATGGCATCCCTACGCATCTTAGCCCACAACGCGGGAACCACAGGGAAACCACATGTCCAAACAGACCATGTGGTTTTCCTGTGTTCACGTTCTTAAAAAGGTGCACGCACCTTTTGCTTGCGGGAAACATGGGCAAAGCAACCAATTCAAATTAATGAGCTGCCATGCCTGAGCAAACTCAGGTCGCACGGCCTGCAATATATGAATAATGTGAACCTAGGCTAAAACAGGAAATATGTTACTGGCTGGATCACCCAGGCAAAAGAAAGGAAAAAAAGAGCAAAAAAGTCAAAACAAATGCACCTCCACTACCTGCAGCTAAAACATTGGATTGGTGTCCTGTGTCTCATGTCCACCTACCCATATAGGAAAAACGTTTTTGAATATGCCTGTCAACATGCCCCTGGGGCTCCTGGTCTCATCTCAGCCATCTATGAATCCCTAAATGGACGCCCATCCTCAACACCCGTCCCTTACATGTCCCAATGGGAATGGAGCCTCCAGTCCCCCTTAAATTTAGAGGATTGGAGTAAGGCTTGGAAAATAGTCACCAAATGCTCCTTCAATACAAACACGTTTGAAGCGGCATATAAGGTTCTACTCAGATGGTACTGGGTCCCTGCCCGATTTGCCCATGCTTACCCCGGAAGTAGTGAGAGATGCTTCAGTAACTGGGGGACATTCTACATATTTGGTGGTCCTGCCCCTGACTAGTAGGGCTTTGGTCTAGAGTTTTGGTCTACTCCATCTGCGGGTCCGTAAGGACGCAAAATTGGCCCTTTTACACTGCCCTATTCCCAGACTCTACGCCACAACAGAAACTGGCCACATACCTTTTAATTTCAGCTAAATTAACTATAGCGCAAGCCTGGAAGACTCAGTGGGTGGTTTTTCAGGAGATTAAAACAAGACTGACTAGCATGATGCTCCAAGAACAAATGTCTAGTATCCTGACTGACTCCCATGCTAAATTTCTTAAGGTCTGGGAACATTGGATCTCAGATGAGTTCCCATCATGTCTAGGACTTGTCTGACTGCCCCCTCTGGGGTCCCCGCATCCAAGTTACTCCCTTAACCCCCTTTCTTCTTCCTCTCCCTCCTTTACACTTCCTTCTTTACCTTCTTTTCCTCTGTCTAGCTTTTCTTTGACTATGCTCTATGCGGTTGGCTGCAGGTGCAGGAGCCTCCACTTTGGGGTCTGCGAGAGAATTTTGGGACCTGATTTTTTTTCCATATGCCATTCATTAGTCTTATCCCAACATCCCAGGTTTCTTCCATTTTGATACTTGATATATTTGACTGAATTGTTATTGTTTAGTCTGTACTGATTATCTATCACTCTGCGTGGGCAATTCTCATGCTTGACTTGGACTTTTGTATTTTTGCTATTAAAATCCAATACAAAAGAATGAAACAAAAAAACATATACACCACCACATGCAAAGACGGGTAAGCTACAATATATTGCATTTTAGTTTTTGGATTTAGATACATTTTAAGTGTGAATGGGGCCCTCACAACTGATCAAACAGTCCTGTATCTGCTTAGGTCTATCATGAGCAACAGTGATATAGCAAGTCAGAGCCACTTCTACTCTATCAGTTGCACAAGTGGTGGTGTGATTGTATGAGCCCAATAGTACACATGATCAGATAGTGTGATCAGTTGAACAGTAGCTAGATCAAAGAATGGCACCTGCAGCAAACTTCTTATAGCACTGTACATCTTCTAGATGGTATTTCACAAAATCAACCTGGGGCCCTTGTAGTAACAATATCCTAACAAAAGGTTAAACTTCCTTAGGCAGTGACTGGAGTTAGATAACACACTGTAAGTGATAATTGGGACTATATCATTCCATCTTAGTGTCCTTTCAACCCTTGTGGTTGACAGAGGTCACCCTCCACAATGATCGATGATCACTACAGTGCTTCTCATTGCAGAAAACTAGTAGTAACTTTAGTGCAAAAATAAAAATAAATACAATAACAGATAATAGCTTTATATTTATAAATATTTAAATGTTTTATTAGCTTTTTTTATATCTTTACCACAATATTAGTTGTCTGCAA